CGAAATCATCCCCACTTCTCTTGGTCAAACAACACGAACACCCTCCAACCACCCCGCCCGAATTTCACCCAGCAACAACCTCGACCCAACTTTGTGCCACGTCCGAACTACCAACCTCAGCAGCAGCAGCAGCAGCAAGCACCGGGGGCAGGATCGAGTTCGACTCCCCAAGACGACAAGCTTGACAAAATCTTTCAATTCATGGCCAATAGTGAGCATAGGAATATTAATCATGAGGCCTCTATCAAGCGTATAGAGACACAGTTGGGACAGCTAGCCACTAGGGTCGGGCATATGGAGGCCGAATCCGACAAAGGAAAGTTACCTAGCCAACCCGAGCAAGCCAAAGCCATCACGGTACTCAGAAGCGGGAAGGTTGTGGATAACAAGGTGGAGATGCCCGAACCCGAGCAGGAGGAGAATCGTTTGGAAAAGATAAAGGAAGCAGAGCCCGATAAGGCAACTGACGAGCCGATGCTACATAAGTCACCTAATCCGTATAAACCTCGCGTTCCCTTTCCAGACCGACTGAGAGACGAAAAGCAAGAAAAGCAGTTTCAGGATCTTTTCAGCATGCTCTCCAAGGTGAATGTCAACTTGCCACTTCTTGATGTGATAAAAAATATGCCATCTTATGGTAAGTTCTTCAAGGACTTGGTGACCAAGAAAAGGAAGTTTGAAGATGGTGAAAAGGTAGTTGTGTACGAAGCGGCAAGTGCAATGCAGCATGACTTGCCCAAGAAGGAGCGTGACCCAGGAGGCTTTATTATCCAGATCGCCTTGGGTAACGGGAAGGTAGCTTCGGGGATGCTTGACCTTGGAGCCGGAATTAATCTTATGCCCTTCTCGATTTTTCAGAGGCTTGGCCTTGGGGACTTGAGGCCAACTCGCATGTTCCTCCAGTTAGCAGAACGTTCCATCCGGTACCCTAAGGGGATAGTAGAGGATGTTCTCGTGAAGGTGGGCAAGCTCATCATCCCAGTGGATTTTGTTTTTTTAGACGTTGGAGATGTGCACGACAATGGGAAGGATCACACCATCCTCCTCGGGAGACCCTTCATGGCAACAACAAACACTCTTATCGACGTGAAGAACGGAACCCTGAATATGACAGTTTTGGGGGAATCAGTGTCTATTTCCGTTCGAGAGGCTGGGTCCGCATCCTCGGTCAATTTTGTAGAAGAGTGTGCCTTCATTGATCAAACTGATCCCTTTATCGATGAGATGGTACTTCACGAGTTCGAGGAAGTGTCAATACCAGTTTTTGAGGAAGAAGAGGATCCTGCAGTTGAACTTTTTGAAATGGGAGAAGGCCATTCCAGAGCTGAGACCACATTTGAGCTTAAGGAGCTGCCCAGGCACCTTAAGTACGTCTTCTTGGATGATGCCAAACAGAAACCGGTGATCATTTTTTCTGAGCTCGACAGCGAGGAAGAAGAGGAATTGATAGCCATGCTCCGGAAGTATCAGAAAGCAATTGAATGGAGCTTAGGAGACATCAAAGGAATCAGCCCATCTACATGCATGCACCGGATTATCTTGGAGGAGGGAGAAAAACCCTTTCGGGATAGCCAACGACGGCTAAACCCGAACATGATGGAGGTAGTCAAGAAGGAAGTGTTGAAACTTTTCTCGGAAGGGTTGATTTATCCAGTGGCGAGTAGTTAATGGGTTAGCCCAATCCATGTGGTACCAAAGAAAGGTGGCATAACCGTAATTGAGAATGATAAGAAGAAGTTGGTCCCCACCCGCATCAGTACCGGGTGGCGCATGTGCATCGATTATAGGCGACTGAATGCAGTGACCAAGAAGGACCATTTTCCGTTGCCGTTTATTGACCAGATCCTAGATCGTCTTTCGGGCCACCAGTTCTACTGTTTCTTGGATGGACTCTCCGGCTACTACCAAGTGGCCATAGCACCCGAGGATCATCCCAAGACGACAATCACGTGCCCTTTTGGCACATTCGCATTCAGACGGATGCCCTTTGGCCTATGTAATGCACCGGGGACGTTTCAGCGGTGCATGTTCTCCATTTTCTCGGATATGCTCGAGGACTGCCTACATGTATTTATGGATGACTTCTCTATCTTTGGTGATTCATTTTCTCATTGTCTCCGTAAT